AATGTGTGTTAGTAGATTTAACGCGTGTAAAGACACTCTAGGATTCATCCCAAGGGAAGAAGCTATAGAAAATAAAGTTGTTGATCACAGCACTGGTAAATGGAGATGGGTTTATTAATCATGGAGCGCCAGCACAGAAGAAATCCATTTGCCCTCACTCTCCTTCCATTGATAAACATGCATGACAAACAAAACAAAACTGTCTCCACCATACCATCAAGGGAAGACATCTGGGTCATTTTACTTCTTGAGGTGGGGTCAATAGATAGCCAAGCTAGCCACAGACCACTCATCCTGCTGCAAACTTCTCCAAGTGCTGGGGCTATAGGTGAGAGCTGCCAGGCCCAACCAGGTATCTGATTCTAAACAGTGCACATGGGTCCTAGGATCACCTTTCTGCTCCAACCACATTCCTCTAGGAAAATGTGGTGCTGGCTTCATCCTAGAGACCTGGCATTGTGACTTTTCCTGGGGAGGGTTATCTGTGCACCTCAGATGGGGCACTGATAGGGATGTTCTTCTGTATATATGTTTCTTTTATTGGTTGATGAATAAAACACTGATTGGCCAGGCATAAAATTAGGCGGGGCTACCAGACTAGGAGATGAGGAGAATTCTGGGAAAGATAGGCAGAGAAGGCCCCCACCAGAACAGTTGCCATGTAGGTCGCCAAAGGAGTAACAGGTCCAGACCCTTCTCTGGTAAAATAAGATCACGTGGAAATACTTAGATTAATAGAAACAGGTTAATAATTAAGACAGACCTAGCCAAATAAGAAACCCAACCACTAGCCAACAGTTTGATAATTAATATAGTGTCTGTGTGTTTATTTGGGGCTGAAGGGCAGCAGTATCAGCCAGGACAAATAACCTCACTCAACAGGTATCAGTCACAGCCCAAAGAAATGACTCTATTGGCTTACTCACGGGGGCGAGGGTGACTCAAACATAGCCACATGACCAAAAAGCCCACCCTAGCTGGGGTGAAGACACAGAAACTGTCCCTGGAGCTCCTTGCATGCCTTGTAAGCAGCTCAGCTGGCAGAAGTCTTCTCTCTCTCCAGCAGTTCCTGCTGTCTTTATAATCTTGGGCCAGGTCTTTTGACTCTGGTAACCAGGAGCTCCCTTGCCTAGGGACTTACATGACTTTCTTCTTCCAGAGAGGGTGTCAATTGGGAGAAAATGGTTCTACAACTAGCTTAGGGGTTTGCCAGACTAGAATATTGACAGCTTCCTTTTATGCACACAAGAAGGACATTCTTGGCTATCAGCAAGACTAGGTGTGGAGCTCTGTCTGGGCATGAAATGAAACCAGAGCAGGTATGCTTAACTACATGAGACCCATAAGATCAGCTCCATTGACATCACCTCATGGGGAGGAAAGGGTTCTGAGCTTCCCCCAGCCTCCAAGTGATTGGGATGGGGGAACACCTCTGTGGTAGAGCTGCCAGTGAATTCTCACCCTCCTGTATGTAATACCAATAAACTCACTGGTTCACTGGGCTTGGAGGGGCTCGTTTCTCTGGTGTGCCATTACCTTCCTTATATGAGGTGAATAGAAGTAGATTTTCTAGGGAAAGTCACATGACACTGAAGCTAGGAGGTTGGGCTGGGACTCTGAGTTTTTCAATTCTTCTTTCTTTGCAGAAAATACTCAGTTCCTTCTGTCTAGGACCCTGCTGCAGCTGCTTCTGCTTCTTCTTCTTCTTCTTCTTCTTCTTCTTCTTCTTCTTCTTCTTCTTCTTCTTCTTCTTCTTCTTCTTCTT